AATTTTACTGTCAAATTTTAAATTTAAGATTCGATTAGCTAACCAACAAGGAAAGGGATCGGTGATTGTTTAATTCTCTATTGATATTAATTTCAGCCAAGAATCGTGATAAATGCAAAATCAAAACAAGCAATTAGTGGAAGATTTGGATAGATTTTTCGAAAGATTTTCGAAGAGAATCTAGATTGGAGTGGACGACTGGTCCTCCTCTCAACTTCAGTCCTGCTTTCACTATGCAATTTTAATTTGGTCCCTATGAATTTCAATTGTCCACAATCATGCCATCCTGTCGTATAATTTCAGTCTTTGTAAAGCGCAACCTTATCAATTGAGTCCCTGCAGGATGTAATTTAGGTTCTAAATTTTTCAATTTGTTCAATTATATCCCTAATTACTTCAATTACACCTTCCTTTAAATGCAATTGCGCCCTCTGGATGAATTTTTTTGTATTTTCTACCTATTTTCCTTTTTTCATATTTTTTATTATTTCCCCTTTTTTTATTTTTATCATTTTTTTTGGGTTCTTTTAATAAACTCCAAAATGAAATAAAAAAAATAAAATAAGAAATAAACAATAATAAAAATAAAAGAAAAGAAAAATTATGGGAAATTTTTGGATTATGACAACGCAAATAGGTGGTTTAACCTATTCTTTTCATGATAACTTGCATTCATGAATCTTGAATCACATGAAAGCAAAATACTTCTAGAGAAAACGATAAGGTTGGTCACATGAAATAAATATTTGACTTTATCCATGAATTTTTATTTTTAATAATATAATGAGATAGTTCTTTCAACTGGTTCATCCACCAAAATTTATTCATGAGATGTAGACTTCCACCATGAAATTTATCTTGAAGCTTTTTTGTATCATGGCCTTCCTTTATGTTGTGCTTTTCAATTTTTAAATCATTTTTTTAACATTTTTATATTCAATACACTCTTTCTGTTCGAAAAAGATCCTATATCTTTTTATTTATATTTGTATTAAAATATTGGTTTCGTTAAAAAAAATTAAATAATGTATTTTTTAAAATATTTCTAATTAAAATCTATTGTATAAAAACCTGTCTAAATATAATTCTAAAAAAAAGGTATTTTTGAAAATTATTGGTATCAAATAATAATTAATAACTTTTTTAATTAATATGATAAATTAAAAGGGACAATCGCTTTAAGACAAAACGAGTATCAATTTTAATATATCCAAATTGAAATTGTCGGATCGAATTTCAAACAAATCATATTTGGATTAATACTAATAATTTCAAGAACAATACCTCAAGATTTTAATTCAATCATTTTAAATCTTTAGTAATGCTACAATTTCATGAATTATTAATTCAAATTGACAAAACTGTACAAGACAAACTTGTCCATAGTATACCTATCATAATCAAAATAGTTTTTCTATTCAAGATCAAAGAATTATCAATATGGTTAATTTCTTCATGTTCATTCCAAGTTCGAAATGCTATTTGTATAAATTTTCCACAATGACAAACTTCTATCTCCCAGCAATATCTTTTGTTTTTTTTTCTAAATTTTCCACGTACGTTGCATCCAAGTCAATTTCCTTATTTATTATATCATTTTTTTCATCACAAGTTGACATACAAATCTTTTTATTTTCCAAGCATGCAAGGAATACTAGATTAGTCCAAGTTGGAAATCAAAACGTTTGATTTGTCAAATATCGTGCAAGAAATTCTAACTGGCCAGCAGATATTCTAGAAATTAAGGTGCATGGTACTGAAGTAAGGTTCGGCCATGATTTTTGTCTCATCGATTTGTATTTTGTAGGCTGTCAATACTAGGTTGCTGGCTGGACCATCTGTCTCTTCTTCTTAATTTTCCACATCCACATCCACATGCTCATGCTCATGTCTCGTCAAATTCTGTGGATGGATCAAGTCAAAAAAATTCATCTCTTCTTCTTAACTTTTCACATCCACATGCTCATGTCCAGTCAAATTATGTGGATGGATCAAGTCAAAAAAAATCTTTTGTTATTTAGGATAAATAATTCAATTTATTTTTATATAATATCTCAAATTTTTCATATATTTTTAGGTTTTTCATTATATTTTATTTGTTCAGGAAAATTTTTTAAATGTTCATTTTTATAAATTTCTTCGAGTATGGACAAATTTTTTGACCAAAATGCTCTTTACTCGAAATACAATAAAAAATATTTAAAATCATATGACCTACATATTTTATTTTTATAGTCTTTAGATTTTTTTTTTATGTTTTTGCATTTACTTAGAGGTATTTTAGTAAAAAAAAAATTATAATAAAAAAAATTGATCGAAATGATAGATTAACTGTTTCAAAAAATTTCAAGAGTAGATGTAAAATTCTTTTGTTATTTAGGATAAATAATTCAATTTTTTATATAATATCTCGAATTTTTCATATATTTTTAGGTTTTTCATTGTATTTCATTTGTTCATGAAAATTTTTAAATGTTCATTTTTATAAATTTCTCGAGTATGGACATATTTTTTTGACCTAAATGCTCTTTACTGAAATACAATAAAAAAATTTTTTAATCATATGACCTACATGTTTTATTTTTAAAGTCTTTAGATTTTTTTTTATTTTTTTATGTTTTTGCATTTACTTAGAGGTATTTTAGTTAAAAAAAAAAAATTGTGATCGAAAAAATTGATCGGAATGATAGATTAAATGTTTCAAAAAATTTCAAGAGGAGATGTAAAATTCTTTTGTTATTTAGGATAAATAATTCAATTTATGCTTATATAATATCTCAAATTTTTCATATATTTTTAGGTTTTTCATTGTATTTCATTAGCTCATGAAAATTTTTTAAATGTTCATTTTTACAAATTTTTTCAAGTATGGACAAATGTTTTGAGCAAAATGCTTTTTATTGAAATACAATAAAAAAATATTTAAAACCATATGACTTACATGTTTTATTTTTAAAGTCTTTATATTTTTTTTATTTTTTTATGTTTTTTGCATTTACTTTGAGGTATTTTAGTAAGACAAAAATTTATGATCGAAAAAATTGATTGGAATGATAGATTAAATGTTTCAAAAAATTTCAAGAGCAAATGTAAGACTCATGATATCATATAAAACAAATTGAGTTATTTATCCTATTATTAATGATCATTTTAGTATTTTTTTTATATTTAATAATTTTTTTATTTTACTATAGATTTAGTTTTTATTGTTAAATTTATTTGTTTTATCTATTCGTTATCTATGTTAAAGTTAGAAAATTTATAAAAATCTTATATTTTTTTACCGAATTTAGGGGTATTGAGTCTTAATGATTGTTTAATGATATTCTCTTATGATTATCAATCCAACCTTTGAGTTGTTTAACTATTATGTATATATTAGTGATCATCTTTTACTGTTTTCAATTTTTTTTTTCAAAAAAAAAACTTAGGTATCGTAGTATTTTAGCATTTTCACCTTCACATGCGAGAAAAAGTCTAAATCTGAATATGCAGGAAGCTTGCAGTAATCATAAGAGATGTGTAGTGGAGATTATGATATAAAGTAAAATGATCTATCAAATCAAATGGTCAAGCTAACCAAACTATTCACTTACGTTAGCATGTACAAACATAAGATAATACATTATTTAATCATTCTGCTTTTTAATGTTAAAAATGTTTTCGATTTAATCTGTATATCAATCAAAATTAAATTTATTTTCAATAATTTTAAAAATATACTTTTTATGTCAACAAAAAATAAACATTTTCAATCATCCAATCTACCCTTCGTAATTATTATTAATTAATAAAAACTATCAATTTATTTTTTTCAATCTAAGCACTAGCTAGAATATAGTTTTAGCAAAATACCAAAGAAACTGTGAGAAAAATGTTTCATAGGGTTTAACTTTCACTTTTTACCTGCTTTTTTTTTTTCTTTTCTAGACATCTCTATTTAAAATTAAAAATAGAGTTAATTATATTCGAGAACAATAAAATTTAATTCTTACTCACAAATACAATTTTAAAATTCGAATTTCAATTACTTTAATTTGTTGAGTTTGAGATTACATAATGAGAGCAGAAAATTATGATTTAATTTTGTTATCTCTTTCTCATTTTTTGCTTCTTTCAACACATGCGTTAATTAGTTGTATTTATTTACGAATTATTTGCATATTGATAAAAAAAAAAAATTGCTTAAGGATCAACTCTTTTACTATTAGGTTATCAATTTTTTGGTTTTTAAATGTTTTATTGGGCTTTTTTAAATCAATATTTTTGCCAAGAACCTTTCTACGAAGGTTGAACCAAAGTTAGTTTTTTTTTAAAAAAAAATTAATTTTATTATTATCTTTATTTTATTTATTTATTTATTTATTTGTTGATAAAAGAGCTAGTTTAATTTGAAGTATCATATGACCAAACAACCCTTGATTTTTTTTTCTTTTCTAAACATTAAAGAGCAAGAGTAGAAGAAGTTCGTCGCAAGAACTATTTATGGTAAATCCTTGATGAGAAAATTCAATTTACCAAATAAAACGGCATTGAATTCATTTTCCATGAATAATAAGATTCAGGTGAGATTCACCAACATATTTCTCCCTCCAAAAAAAATGGAAGTAAAAGTTCAGCTGATTCATTAAGCATTTCCAACTCAATCCAAAAGGCATGATTTCAAAATTCCCACAAATCTGAAGAAAAAAAAATGTTTCTTGTTTAAACGTAATTATATATAGTTTTTTTTTCGGAGAAGTTAATTATAAAATTCAAACTCCAAACCTCAAAGTCAATGATTTCTCTTCAAGCCCCCATGGGAAGACCAAGTTACATGTTGGACCGCTCAGTTGATTCATCACCGATTGTTTTACACTTCCGGTGGCGTCCATATCTGTTTCTTCATGTGTTAAGCAATAGTCTCAACCACCTTATTTAGTGCAGTCCCAACTGTCGAGCCTCCATAAGGATTCACTAAAGCCAACTATCGTTTTTTTTTTTTTAATCCAGGAAAGAAAATGGAGCATAATGGAAGAGATGAGATCAAGGTAGAGAATGGATGTGGTTTCGAGGATGACCATGAACAAAAAAGGAGGGAAAAAGAAGAAGGTTTGTCAGTGGAAAGGATATTTGAGAACCAAGAAGTGCCATCATGGAGGAATCAGCTGACACTGAGGGCTTTTGTGGTGAGCTTTGTGTTGAGTATTTTGTTCAGCATCATAGTAATGAAGCTCAATCTTACAACTGGTGTCATTCCTTCCCTCAACGTCTCTGCTGGTCTTTTGGGCTTCTTTTTTACCAAGACTTGGACAAAGTTTCTTGAAAAGTCTGGCCTTTTGAAGCAACCCTTTACCAGACAAGAGAATACTGTTATCCAGACTTGTGTGGTTGCGTCCTGTGGCGTTGGCTTCAGTGGTATCCTTTCTGCACTTCTTACTGGCATTAATTTTTGTTTCATCTCTCTTAATTATTTTGAAATTCAAAATGTTCTCTCTTCTTTTTGGGTTGATGAGATATCCAGGCTTCTTTGATTAAGAATTAATTACTCAAATTCAATGTCAAGATTTCCTTTTTCTCTCTGGATCCCTTTTATCTCTCATGTGAGTAGGATTTAGCTGATCCTTGAAGACAGCAATTTTGTACTGCCTAAACTAGTTGAGAGTAGGGATGACAACGAGCAGTATATGAAATAGATACTCTATCCAGCCTATCTATTAATTACCTTTTTAAAATATTCTAATAGGTAATGACTAAATATAAGTAAAATAGTATTACTTATTTATATTAATGGATAATTTATTCATAAATATGAGTATCATCTTTTTACCTTATTAATATTCATTTTTTATCCATTAACATAAAAATGAATTAATATTATTTTACAAAACTAGAGGTATTAATCAATCATTTTCATTTCAAATTTCTTGCATCTTTTTTTTTTTCCTATTATATGAAGCTACGTAATGGGGTAACTTTCTCCACTTTGTCATTAAGAGACCACTTGAGTGATAAAGATTTAGGATTTCCATTAAGGTTGTGCTTGTTTGGGGAGAAACAAGTTTCGAAACTTATTTTTTTATTTTTCGAGTGTTCTTTTCGCATTTAGGAAAAAAGTCAACGAAACATGATTTTTAGTCAATGGAAAATGATAAAGTATTTTTGAAAAAAAATTTCCATGTTAAAAAACTGAAAAATATTTTCCTTCTCATGAGTTTTCTCGCTCTCACATTACTTACTTCTCTCTCGACATATTTTAATATTTTTTTCTCTATCTTCTTTTTATTTAAAATATATCAAATTAATTTTTAATTATTTCTTATCAATTATTATTAATTATTTAATTATTTTTTCTCTATTTCTACTAACATTTGATTTTTTGATTTATAAATACATTAAATATTCTTAAAAACTATTTTTACACCTTAAAATTATTTTTATAATAAATATTTCAATAATTTATCTCTATTTTTTTACTATTATCTCAAAAATCACCTAAAGTATACTTAAATGATTGGGAATAATTATTACAAGATTGCAATCATTTGTAAAAAAAAATTGAAATTAATTAATTCATTAAAAAATATATTATTTTTCCAACACTATTCATTTTCAATAAAATAAATAATTTGTAATTTTAATCATTTGTAAAATTTTGTTGATAATTATAGTGAGTAGTAGTCACAAATTATTCCAACATTAATCTTTTGAAACCAAATAAATAATTATCTACAAATGATAACTAATAATTTGTAAAACTATTTTTTAGAATAAATTATCAATTCAATTTTCAAAAAAAAATTCTTAATTGAGTTACCAAAATAACAATGCTATGATTACTTAGAAATTTTTTTTAACTAAATGTGAATATTGACTTGATTTTGTCCCAAGTAATTTTGATGAATTGGTTTGATGATTAAAAAAGTATATTTTATTTTTTGAATTTAAATTTAGAGTCAGTATTTATGAAAATTTAATAAAATTTTCTAAATGTATCTTATATTATGAAATTGTGAATATGTCTTTTTGAAGTTTCTCAAAACTCGTTGATGTAACAATCACATACTATTTTTGTATTTTAATTTTTTGTATCAAACAAAAGCCGAGCATTTTTTTCATGTAATTACCAAACAGCATAAATTATTTTTTTGAAAAATAATTTTTTGAAAAATAGCTTCTTTAGGAATTGATTTTCTTATGGAAGTTGTTTTCCGTCAAACAAACGAAGCCTAAGAGTCAACTCGGTGCAAACCTAGGAAGGCATGCATGGGATGGGAATTTGAGGTAGAGGATTACCTCGTTATTAAGAATGCAGTATAATTTCTCCTTATTTCTTTTCGTTTTATTTCTCGAGCATTATTCATTTTTGGAATAAATTCCTCTAGTTTTACAAAAATGAATTGAATAGTTTATGTTATTTTAAAAATTAATTAATTATTTTTTAATCGGTGTCCAACATAGTTAATTTAGGTCTGTGTTTATTTGGAAAAAAACAAATTCCATAAGAAAATCAATTCCTAAGGAAGCGAGTTTTTCAGGAAATTATTTTTCAAAAACATATTTTCCGTCATTTGGCAATTACATGAAAAAACTGTTGAAAAATATATTCTAACATTTGTTTGATGCAGAAAATTAAAATACAAAAACATATATGATTGTTCTATCAATAAATTTTGAGAAAACTTCAAAAAGACATATTCATAATTTCACAATATAAGATATATTTAAAAAAAATTAATACATTTTCATAAATACTAACTCTAAAATTTTTATTCAAAAAATAAAATGTATTTTTTTAATCATCAAACCAATTCATCAAAAGTACTTGGGATAAAATCAAGTCAATATTCACATTTAGTAAAAAAAGATTCTAAGTAATCCTAGCATTATTATTTTGATAACTCAATTAAGAATTCTTTTTTTTTTTTTTTTTTAGAAATTGAACTGGTAATTTAGTCTAAAAAATATTTTTATAAATTATTAGTTATCATTTATAGATAATTATTCATTTGGTCTTCAAAGATTAATGTTGGAATAATTTGTAACTAATTATTCACTACAATTACCAACAAAATTTTACAATTGATTAAAATTATAAATTATTGATTTAATTGCAAATGAATGGTGTTGAAAAAATAATGTATTTATTGATAAATTAATTAATTTCAATTCTTTTTACAAAAAAAAGTCTTGTAATAATCATTTCCAATCATTTAAGTATAGTTTAAGTAGTGTTTGAGATAATAGTAAAAACAAATAGATATAAATTATTGAAATATTTATTATAAAAATAATTTTAAGTTGTAGAAATGGTTTTTAAGAATATTTAATGTATCTATAAATCAAAAAATCAAATATTAATAAAAATAGAGAAAAAATAATTAAATAATTAATAATAATTGATAAGGAATAATTAAAAATTAATCTGATATATTTTAAATAAAAAAAAGATAGAGAAAAAAATTTTAAAATATATCGATAGATAGGTAAGTAACGTGAGAGTGAGACGAGTTCGTGAGAAAGAAAATGTTTTTCTCTTTTGAAATTGGGAAAATATTTTTCCAGAAATACTTTATCATTTTCGTTGATTGAAAATTATTTTCTCGTTGGCTTTTTTTCCAAATGCCAAACAAATACTGAAAAAATAGAGAAAACAAGTTCCTGGAACTTGTTTTTCCTCATACAAACATAGCCTTAATATTATTTTATTTTAAGAATATTTTATTTTTCATCAATTTTTTTTATATTATTTATTTTTATTATCTTTTTTTATTTCATAAAAAAAATAAAAAATTATATAGAAAATTCTTTCTATATAAAAAGAGTCTAGACAAAAAGAGTTTATAACCAAAAAAAAAAAAATCAATAAAAAATTTTTTTTAAAAAAAAGTCTTCAATTTACAGAATATTCCGATCGATGGAGAAAGAAGTCTTCTCCATTAGTAAAAGAAAGAAAATGGAAAAATTAATCTGTTTATAGAACGGTACATAGTAGTGAGCTTGATCTACTAATCAAATCTGTTAGTGTGTAGATTTTACTCTGCTGAGCTTGTTTGTTGACTGAATCATTAACCTTATGTGGAGACGAATACACTATATTTCAAACTTATTATCCAAATAATCAAGACATGCAAGATTACACATCAAAGTTGTTTTGAACCTGAAACTGTTGAATTTCATACAAGTGAAAGTTCCATTGTATAATTTGTGTTTTGTTTCCTTATAATAGGAGGCTTTGGGACCTATCTGTTTGGAATGAGTGAAATTGTGGCCAAACAAACGACAGATGATAGTGGTGCCTTTAAAAATCCATCTCTGTCTTGGATAATTGGCTTTCTATTTGTTGTTAGCTTTCTTGGACTCTTTTCAGTGGTGCCTCTCCGAAAGGTAGACTTTACAACGTATATCACTGCTCAATTTTGTCATATAATTATAGGAAATAGAAAACCTCTGCAGTTAACATTTTGTCAGATGCTATAGTTTTGCCAAAATTTAATCTTCATTGTTACCTTGGTTGCTTCCAGATCATGATTGTAGACTTCAAATTGACATATCCTAGTGGCACTGCAACTGCTCTTCTCATCAACAGCTTCCACACTCCTGCAGGAGCCAAGCTAGCAAAGTAAGGCATTGTCAGACCTCGTGCACTTACAGTTTGATGATCATTTGGCACGTGAAAGTATCTAACTTTGTTTTTCTACCGTTGCAGGAAACAAGTGAGAGTCTTGGGCAAGTTTTTCACATTCAGTTTCTTGTGGAGTTTCTTCCAATGGTTCTATACTGCTGGAGATGGTTGTGGATTTGATAACTTCCCCTCACTTGGGCTTAAAGCATATGAAAACCAGTAAATACATTATTCAATCTTCAAAAATTCTCGTCTTGTTGAATTAGATGCATTTATTAGGGCACTGTGTTTCAAATTAGTTATGGTATCTTTGACTAATAACGTTCTTGTTATATGTACAGGTTTTTCTTTGATTTCTCATCAACTTATGTTGGAGTTGGAATGATTTGCCCATACATCATAAACATATCAGTGTTGCTTGGAGGAATTCTTTCCTGGGGTCTAATGTGGCCTCTGATAGATACGAAAAAGGGTGATTGGTTTCCAGCAGACCTCAAACCAAACAGTCTACATGGCCTCCAAGGTTACAAGGTAAACTTCTAATAAAGTGTTGGTGACAAGAGTGCCCAGGAAATGGTTTTAACTTACTTTTTGAGTACTTTTCATGCATACTGAGACTACCTTATGCAATGAACTCAGGTATTTATTGCTATTGCCTTGACCTTGGGTGACGGTCTGTACAACTTCTTCAAGGTGCTAAGCCAAACACTTGCTGGTTTGTTTTATCAATTTCGAAGGAGATATGTAATCAATGCTCTCCCTATTGCTGACCGTTCCTCTCCTGAGAGCTCCAGGATCTCCTATGATGACCAACGCCGCACCCAGCTGTTTCTTAAAGATCAAATTCCAACATGGTTTGCTATTGCGGGCTATGTCGCAATTGCTGCCATCTCCACAGCCACTCTACCACAAATCTTTCATGAACTCAAATGGTATTACATATTGGTTATCTACATCTTTGCCCCAATCCTTGCATTCTGTAATGCCTATGGATGTGGCCTCACTGATTGGTCCCTTGCTTCCACCTATGGGACGCTTGCTATTTTTTCGATTGGGGCATGGGCTGGTTCCTCTCAAGGTGGAGTTATTGCTGGACTAGCCGCCTGTGGAGTCATGATGAATATTGTCTCCACAGCCTCTGACCTCACTCAAGATTTCAAGACTGGTTATCTGACCTTGTCTTCACCACGATCCATGTTCGTGAGCCAACTAATTGGCACTGCAATGGGTTGCATAATTTCCCCTTGTATCTTTTGGTTCTTTTTCAAGGCCTTCAAGGATATTGGGACTCCTGGAAGTGAATACCCTGCTCCTTATGCTGCTGTATTTCGAAACATGGCTATATTGGGGGTAGAAGGCTTCTCGGCTCTACCAAAGAATTGCCTCTATCTTTGTTACGGATTCTTTGGTGCCGCTATTCTAATAAATTTGATCAAGGATTCATTGAGTAAGAAATGGGCTAAGTTCATTCCCAATCCAATGGCAATGGCTATACCTTTCTATATTGGTTCATACTTTGCCATCGACATGTGCGTGGGAAGCTTGATTCTATTTATTTGGGAAAAGATTGACAAGGCGAAGGCAGATGCTTTTGGGCCAGCAGTGGCTTCCGGTTTAATTTGTGGGGATGGAATATGGACTTTGCCTAGTTCAATACTTGCTCTGGCAGGTGTAAAACCACCCATTTGCATGAAGTTTTTGTCAAGGGGAACAAATAGTAAGGTTGATGCGTTCTTAGGGTCATAAATATCTTATTTATGTAAAACACTCTTAATTTTTGTCATTTTCTTGTTACACTATTTTTTCAATAAATTTATTCTCAGACGGACTTACGTTTTAATCTAAATTAACTTCACCATTTTTAACGATTTTAAAAACATATCCCATACATTAGTTTGGTGTATTTAAATATTTTTTTCTAAATTTCAACTTCAATATTTGAATCTAAAAATTTAAAAAATAAAATAAATTTTCTTAACCATCAAATTGATCTCTTAATTTTATTTTTTTCCAACGTTCTATGCTTATCGTGCATGATTTGCATGAATTAGATCATTCTCACTATTTGATTAAGAAAATAAAAAATAGTTGTAATTATTATTGTCAATATTTACGTTAGTGATGGATCTTTCGTAGTGATGGATCTAGTACGAAAGATGTAGGGGTTACATAATTTATTTCTTCAGACAATTGAGATTAACGAACATTTATATATGCTAGAGAGTGTCTTCTTATGGATGAAAGTGATTTTATTTATTATTATTATTTTACTTTATTTTATTGCGATCATATGAAAAAAATGTCAACAAAAAAGAGTACGTAATACGGTAATAATATACTTTTAGTCACATGGATCAAATTGAAAAATTTTAAAGAATAGGAATTGGGGTTATCGTATTGTGAAATGATGGGTAACAAAGCCCCGGGGGTTAGTGCCTACGATTGTGCAGATCAACCAACTCGAATAGAAGCTGTGAAGTTTACATAACAAGTTCTGAAGTTCAACTCTTCTAATACTGTGGATAATCACTTGCTATTTTGCGAAGCCAACAGCCTTTTTCTCTATAATCATTTCGGAGAAGAAAAAGCAAATGTCCATTTATTTATATATGCTTGTAGGTTTTTTTTTTTTAGTATTTTGAAGAAGATAGCAGAACAGACGCATAAACAATGTGAAAATGGAAAGTTACAGTACCCGTAGTAAACTTCCTCAAAGGGAAGGCATTGTTATCAGTCTCTCACAATAAAACCATACCGGACTTAGTTATCCAACAGGGAAAAAGAGAACGAAAAATCATCAACATCGAGAAAAGACGATTAAAGCTTCAGCGATGAGGTCTATAACAATCTCCGTAGCTGAACAAATAAGTTGAAAATGATTTCTTGCATAAGTATTGTCTTATCTTTCTCTAGGTTTGTCCTAAAAATGTAAGAAGTTAACAAGATGGACAAATATTGCCGGATTCTTAACGGCATCTAAGCCCTAGGAGCAAAGACCAGAGTAAGTCAACACCATAAATAGGTTGTCATTTGGATCATATGTTCGGCCCCATGCAAATATATTCCTTGTTTAACGTAGAATCCTTTACTCCTCCATATTGCTGTGATTAATACTTGCTTAACTTTCCAGAAAACAGATGCAAATTTTTGAAACAAATTGTTGGTTCATTTTTCCCTTCTTACTTGTAAATCTCATCCTCCAATTGGTTTCAGATAATGGTCATAAACTTCAAATTGGCATATCCAAGTGGAACTGCAACTGCTCATCTTATGAATAGCTTCCACACCCCTGAAGGAGCTAAGCTAGCAAAGTAAAATCACTGACCGGGCTAGTATTGCTTGGTTTTGTATCGTATAGTTGTGAAGATGACATGAAAGTTTAGACATTTTGAAGAAAGGATGAGCAAATTAGGAAAAGTTTATAAAATCCAAACAACAAGAAAGGTAGGACTAACAAGGTTTTTCAGGTGTTCTAGTCTTGGCCGATGGTGATCCTGTAGTCGATGTGTTGTCAATATCATCAAACAGCTTCTATCAATTGGCTATAAGAAAATTGTTTTCTTAGAACGTCAACCACATTGCGGTGAAACAAGAGGTTACACCAATGTTTGGGTGATAACTCGTTGAGGTATTTAGCTTTGGCATAAGCCATCGATTCGTTCTCAGCAACCTATTCCGGGGAGTTTCGAACGTCTTTTCTCTTATTCACTACTGATTAATGGTCGAGATCAATGGTCTTGCTACTATTTGGATCAATCCAAAATGATGAGCGTAGAGGTTAGGGTTGTAAGCTTTGGTGAACATCTCATCTCCAAGAGAATAAATCAAGTCTCGACTCACTAAAATTACACTCCACACGGATTGTTCATTAGGAGAAAATTATATTTTGTGAAGTAGTTTGTTTGATCGAAACCATAGTGGCCCATATCTATGAGCATGGAAGGGCATCCAATCTTTTAATTTATTTCGCTTATGCTGAGGGTCAAAAATGTACCTCAAAGCATTTAAAAGTAAATGAGGGCAAAAAGGTGCATTATGGATGAGAGAGTGACCATAGCTATCCAAGTCCTTTTTTATAAGATGAGGTCAACTCAAGGCTAGAAAATAAATTTCTCCCCACATCCGAATGAACCAGCGAGGACACGATAAGGTCTTGAGCCTATTAATCGATGCATCTCGAAGTCCCGTATATGCACATGGAAAGAGAAGTAGACCCATGGTGACTCTATTCATTCCATCAAGTGAAGCCAAATTGATGGCCCAAGGTAGAACGACTTTAATTAGTTTCTTTGACTACGAACCAACAACATACTTGTAGATTTATAAGAGATAGAAATCAATCTGTTTGTCACTAGATATTTCTATCCCTTCTTCACAATGAGCGATCGAGTGTCCATAAGCTTTAGAAAGTTTGTTTTCTTAGATTTTGAGGTCTTCATCATTTGCATTGAAAGCTAAAGTTTGGCCAGTAGGATACAAATAGGTGATGGCTATAACATAGAGTAAGGTAATTGACATGTGCCCTTCTAGAAACTAAAACTAGTTGACACAAGGATTTCGGAAAGTAATCATGGCTATTACTAAGCCAAGTTTTGCGATATAAGAGTAGATCGATAAGAGGATGGCCTCGCAAATCCCCATTGCGTCCTATTTCTTGCCTAATTATGGAATGAGCCTCTTCTTGACCTAATCTTCATATTTGGCATCCGGTTTTGGTCAAATAATAGAAAAATATTTGGAAGATTGGGTCCAATTTTGCAAAGATGGATATGATTACGGGGAAAAAGAATGCCAATATCATAAGTCTTTGGAAAGGTTGCATCGATCATGTTTGTAAGATGGACAACCTCGGTGTTGATAGTAAGACCTAACGTCCGGTAAGAACTCGTCTCCGGGTTTTTTCTATTTCTAATTGTGACATCGACAACATTGTTACTCGGTAATAGACTAGAGTAAGTGCATGTTAATCGCACTTGTTTGGTCGAAGAGTTGATAACAATCTCCTTGGAAGGTTATCTTCTTTTGGATAGGTTTCTTTAAAGATTTCACGTTGCCTTTTGGAGCCATTGTTATGGAGAAATAGAGGAAGAAATTAACGAAGGGTAGAAGAGATGTTCGAGGGAATGACGGAAAGAAAGCAAGGGTTTTTATCTTGTAAGATTTTAGTAGAGGAGAAAGTTATAGTAAAAGTGAAAATGTTGGAAGTCATTTTTCTTTTATATGATTTGTTTCAAGGGTCACAATGTTTAAGTGCTAAGATTTAACGGTTCGATTGGGTAAAGTAGAAACCACTGATCGTTAAGTAACCAAGGCGATAAAATGATTACGAGTAACCGTTTAAGAAATGAAATGGCACGATGTCTTATCATGTCCATTAGCATTTAATGTTCTACCCTTTAGAGAAAGAAATTTTTCATTTTATCTCTAAAGGGCTAAAAGGGGACAAGTGTTGGCACTTCAAAATTCAAAGTCACAAGTTGATCACATATGGCGTCTTTTGATGACAAAATAGTAAAAGCATAAGTGGAATGGTGCATTTGATGCCATAAACCAATCAAGTTTCGATAGAGCCTTAAGTCTTTAATAAAACAATGTGTTTGGCCTTATAGCCAACCATGTTTCGATGGAATCTTAATTCTTTAATGAAATTATGCGTTTAATCTTATAACCAATCAAGTTTCGACAAAACCTTAAAAACTTAATGAAATGATACGTTTGTTCTTATCACCAATCGGGTTTTGACGAGTCTTAAATCCTAAGTGAAATAGTGTGTTTGGTAATGTAACCAGCCAAGTTTCAATAAAGTCATAAGATTTAAATAAAATGATGCATTTGGTTCAAAAATCAAATAATTTTTGACGAGGATAATATGTACGAAAAAAACAAACATAGTTACCAAATAATTGTTCGTACTTAAATTTAAATAGAAATAGAAGGTAGTTATTAATCGAGAGTTATTTAAGAAGAGAGGACCAATAGAATAAAAAAGGATGAACAACAAAAGACTTCTTATACAAGTTTATTCAATTCACATAGTTTACCCCGTAATAGTTAGTTCCTATTTTCTTCCAAGCGAGTGCATTAGTCTTTCACTCGCTTTTAGTAATCTTATTTTGTAATTTAGGAGGTGCTGATTTGTCAAAATGGCATCGAACATCTCAATAGCTAATGATGTAAGTGTCATATTTTTTTATTTATGATATTTACATTCTTTTAATGAATTTTGTCTCATCCGATTGATAAAATTCTGTTTATTTTATTGCTTACTCTTTAAATTAAGTACCCATGGAAAGTCCTAGTGGCTTGCTAGGAAAAATCGAATCCTATAACATTTTATCGTGAAGAACTTAATCACAAATTAAAGTATCAATATATTCCACTTTAAGATTAAATTCGACGAGGAACAACAAGGTTAATAATTTTTTGGTGTTTTGGTCACTTATTTTGACTCTATTCTTGTTTTGGTGTGTTTTTTCTTTTAGGCTTTTTGTGTTTGTACTCGGTCTTCATCTTGCTTTGTATTGTCAAGGTGATGTACTTGAATCCTCAATTAAAGAAAAAAAAAAAGAGCTACTTAGTTGTGTGTTAAGTTTTCTTTTTTTTTTTTAATTATACATAAATGATTGTTGGAGTTATAAGAAATATATTAAATTAAAGATAGCAACTTTACAAAAATATATATCTCTTAGACTTCTTGAATACTCACTACTTCATATTCTATCCATTTAAATTGATATATATATATT